TAATCCAATCACAATAACACAATTACCAATCCAAAGCAAGAAGTTAATTAATAGCTACAAGGAATTAGTGACATCTGATCAATACAATTATTTCCTGATGATGTTGGAATCCCTTACTGTAGAATACTTTAATTCTCACTGGAAATTACTTGTTTTCATGTAAGTAATACCGTAGATTTTTACAAAATTCAAAAACAAATTGTAATTTAAATTTTGTTCAAAATTAATTGTACACATGAATATGAATACTAAGTCTTCTACAGACATTGCATGAAGTCTATCATAAATACTGTAAACCATTTAATTTTCCCTGCTAGAACTTTCGGGATTGTACCGTATAGTATTCAGGAACACAAATTTTCTCGAAAGTCACTTACACTCAGAGTCTAAAGACCCTAGCGAAATTTTCACTGCTATAAAATTCAGTGATTTTCACAGTCTTGCAAAAACTAGTTCCTCATAAATTTAAACTGGTTTACAGTATAGCATGATTTATTCAAGTCAAATGACAAATAGAAATGACAAGAGGCTTTAAAAACATCTAAAGTTATAGAATTATAAAATCTAAAATGTTAACAGCTAACCAAAATATCAAGAAAATTTCAAGAAATTTTACTTGAACCATATAATGCTGACAATTAACATGCACATTTTCTCAGGAATTTATCTTCATGCTTATCTTTCATCAAAATAATATTTTACCATTAATAGAACTCTGGAATCCAATAACCACATGCAAGATCTTAATTCATCCAAGTGTTGCAGCATGTCCTTTATTTCTGTCTACATTCCGACTTGTGTCAAAATTTAGAAACAATATTATTTTGAATTTCAGACTTTGGTATTATCCCATTTCCAACTAACTTTTCATTTTCTTTATTCCACCTACTTCATATAAGTATCAAACATTCAATTAAACTAAGTTCCATTAAAGTTTCAACAAATTTTATTTTGATTAAACTTCATTCCATCCTCCAAAATATGAAGTTATATATTTTTATAGAATATATTAAAGTAGAAAAAAAAGTCTTACTTTTTAACAATTTTCTGTTCAATTTTCTATGTCAAAATATAGATTTTGAAAATGGCAAATATGTTGGGATTTCCCACTTTAAAAAAATGTTGGGTTAATTATAAATTTTATTTTATGGAAATAGTCAAATTCAGCAAAGGGTTAGGGACAAAGGTGCCCTAATTCTCAGGGGCGGACATCCGTTTTAGCAACTTTGAACGTCTAGTGACATAGCTCCGCCAGAGGATAGTAAGGTTTATATTGTCTCAGAGACTCATAACTAGCTCAATTAAAAAATTAGTAGGCACAGATGAGTGACAGCGTCCTCTATGGCAGGCATGTAGATCAAAAATAAAATTAATTAAAATTACACAATTTTATGGCTGAGGGTTGGAGAGGATTGAAAGTTATGCACAATATAAAAATATTCATTTTTAAAAAATAACAATTTTTGCTGCATTGGGGAGATGATAATAGATTATAAAGTCAGTTTAAGTTTTATCTTTATATAAAAGATAGTTTTCAATAAATATTGAAAAAAATTGTGTGTTTTTTTTTAATAAAGAGTACTTCCAACTGTGGTAAAAAAAAAACCACAGTTAAGACTCGGATTGTCAGTTTCAATTTTTGTATCAAACACACTTATCACATCCAGCACAGGTCAGAATTGTTCTGATCTCAACTGTTATTGGCCTTGCCTGAAATAGTCAACCTGCTTTTAATACCATGATCACCAATGATCAATGAGTGTGGACCAGAATATTCTGCCCAGGTCAAAGTACTTTTGCAAGAAAGACCAATAGAGAATGAATATTTTGTGTGTGTGTGTGTGTGTGTGTGTGTGTGTGTGTGTGTGTGTGTGTGTACTTGCATTACTATTAATTATTAATATATTTTGCGTAGCTTAGGTTTAGTAAAAGAGGGAGCTATGGTACAGTTTATATTAATATTAATATTAATATAATATTATATTATATTCCCCCTTTACTAAACCTCAGCTTCACAAACATTTCTATGTTCAGTCACGGGATATTCAACTTTATTTAATTCAACTTAATTAAAACGCAATTCTGTGTTGAATTGCATTGTAATTGAGTTTAATTAAACTCCAATTAAAACGCAACCCTAATATAGGAACTCATTTTAATTGAGTTTGTATTGCAACAATATTAAAAGTTAATTCAACTATATTAAAAGTTAATCCAATGAAGTCCTCAGAACATATAGCAATACAAGTATGTGTGTGTGTGTGTGTTCCATCTTTGAGTCATGCATGGTCTGGAAGTTGCATATTCTTCTTTATAATCCAGTAACAATGTTGATAGGGAAATCAATGTTCACCCAGTGTTTTCGCTCACATAGAACATTATAGACTATTTATATTGTGCGGAAAAAGTTCTACTACTTCATAGCAACAGCTCACCTAGTCTAAATTACCAAGAAAACATTTACTGTGCTTCTCAATCATTTCATTCAGCTAAAGTTGTGATCCACTCGTTGATGGTTCATCCTGTGCAGGAGAAGACAACGGGGGTGACGGAGGAGCCTGAACTTTTATTTCTTTTGCCATCATCTTTGGCTGTGAAGTAATAATTTTCACTTTATCTGAATCGATTGTTGTTGCAAAATTCAAAAGCGCATCATATTTTCTTTTCAGCTCCACAAGTTGAACTTTCTGCAAGCTGTTTTCCTGCGACAACATGTGAATATCAGACTGTAACTTTTGTTTTTCGTTTTCTAGGACTTCTTTTTGTGAAACCCTCTTCTCCCGACAGCTAGCAGCATATCCACGGTTCTTCAGTGTGCGTCTGCGTTGTTTAAGTCGTAGGACCTCCTCTTTTGGCAGGCCTTTTAGATTAGCGTTCAATTCTCGCACAGAAAACAAAACTAGGTCTTCATCTGAGATGACAGGAAGCTCTGGCTTCTCCCTTTTGATGTGCACACTGTGTTGGGAAGACTGTAAAAAAACAAAAAAACAAAAAAAAAACACATTAAAGCCAATACGCTTACGTAAATATCAAAATATATATCATACCATAATTACAATAAATAACAGTTGGCTTATATGTGCTTTAATTGGAGATGCACTTCTAATAGGGCAAATATGGTACGTTGTCATGACGAATTATTCATAGTTGGGACGACTTATATGAAATCTCCTGATATGATACTATAAACATCAATGATAATCTAGCTAAAACATTCTCATTTTATGGATATGGGGAAAAAGTAATCAATGGTACGTTTTTTTTAGTCACCAATAAAATAATTTTCAGGCCCAAAATAAGGCACTTTGTTTATAAACATATTTATAAAAATTTGTAAATACTGATCATCAGCAATCATTTAAAATCAAAAATTCAAGAGCTAAGCATCGTTTACGCCAGTAATGTGTGCCCACACAAAGCATAGCAACTGCCACGACCCACAAAAAGTAAAACCTGTCGACCATGACTGGGACTAAGATTTATGGTCGGTTTTCAGGGGGAGTTGGTTTATTCAGGGTGGCCATGACTTTGATTGAAACAACAATTACATGTGCTGTAAACACGGGACAAATGAAAACACCAGTTTGTCTCCAGTGATTACATTTAAATTCATTGTATTTTTCAAAAAAATAATTTACCAAACAAGACATGAATATTTTGGTATGTACATGAAACTAATAAAATAACTGTTCGAACAGACAGGGTAAGTACTGCGTATCGTATCTGAAGGAGTCCATTTTGAATGACATCACAACGCAAGTTCACATGAGCTATGTGTAATTATCATAATTTATGCAACCAGTCGAAAAATCAAATTACGATCAAATTAAAATCATCAAGTGTTGACTGC